TTGATTGCCTCCAACTTCATATTTTCTGTTAGATTTCTCGAATGTTGGCAGCCAAAACTGTTCTGGCTATCCGTTATGATGCATTTGGTGAGGATTCCAGCTCTGCAATGGGAGTTGAGAACAGAGCCAAATTAGAAGCCAGGTTGAGAACTTTGGAAGATAGAGGGGTAAGAACCAAATTCTACCTATTCCAGAATTCTTACCTATCGGAAGTTAATAAACTGTGAGTAGATTTATGAAATTATTTTACCTGCTAAACAATTTTATTTTGCGATGCATTTTAGTATGTCTAATAGATTCTTTTTATGCCTCGTGTTAACAGTTTCTTATATTTACCAAGCATTGTGTATTGAATGTTTGCCATTAAGATATACTATTCAAAATAACATAAAGAAAATAATGTATAACGTAATAATTAAAAATAAAGAAAATAAAATGTTAAAGTTAACAGGAATTGCTGCTTGCTGGCCCACTGATTCATTACACTATATACTATATTATAAAGAGATTATGACTTTGAATTTATTTGTAATTTTCCTTTTTCATCTTAGATAAGAAAAATAAGTGGAACAGGAAAGGCATTAGCAAAAGCAGAAAAATATGAACACAAAAGGTGAGCACATTTAGGGGAGAATGCGGGATAGGTTTGTTTATTTAAATGTTATATTATCAACAGGAATGTTTTATTGTAAACCTAACTTCAATATGCCCCTAGTTTTAAAAAATCTTTTTATTGACAATTAAAATTGTATATCTCTATCGTGTACATGCAGAGCTGATTAACATATTCATTATCTTATGTACTTATCCTTTTTTGTAGTAAGGACATTTAAAATTGTATCATCAATTTTCAAGGATACAACACATTGTTATTAACTATAATCACCATACTATACACCCCCTAATTTGTTTCCTTGCCATTTAGTTTTCCATATTCACTTCTAGTTTTTAATCATATGCACATATTTAACTTCTCATTTCCAAACATTGATAGTAAATTTTTTTTAAGTTCCTCTGTAGCATGCCATTTATCAAAAAGTTTTGTTCAGAGTTAATCCATGATGAAACGTATCTTTTTAAAAGTGTAAAGAAAGAAGACAAGGCTACAAGTGGCTGAGATATGATTAAAGTATTCAGACTTAA